CCTCCAACTGTATGCAATGCAGCAGAGAACTCTGTTTCTTCTAATGGGAAATGATTTATTTGAGGATTTAGTTGCCTCCAAGTAGTGAAGTGTTTATAATGGAAAACAACTATACCTCTGATGCTTGAATCATCTGGAGAATGTTGCCCTTTTCATAAGAACCACAAGATCAAGTGAGGTTGCGTTTTCTAAGTAGTCTTGAAAATGTAACCACATATAAAACAGGAGGTATGTAAAATTTGCAAAATTGTCTCAGAATGCACTCACCTGAATTTTCCCCTGCACTCCAGTACTATCCATCCGGCTGGCAACATTTACAGTGTTCCCCCAGATATCATACTGTGGTCTTCTGGCTCCAATGACTCCAGCCACTACTGGCCCGACATTAATACCTAAAATGAAAACAATGACTTTGGTTTCAAACACTACAGCATATTATCCAAGGGAAACATGAATCCTGCAAAAGAGATTTAACACAAGTGCATTAGAATTTTTCTGGTCATAGGACATAATATATGTTAAATTAATGCCAATTGGACTTTGTATTTGTAAGAGCTGTAGAAAAAAATAAAGACATACACAGAGATATTTTATTGGAAATGCAGTATGATAGGCAACATAAAAATTTGGCTCATCTGTGGATTTTCTTTTTTTATTTTTTTTTTTTTTTAAGAAAAGCAGAAAAGCAGTGGTAGTGCAGAGTTTAGTTGTAGAATAATTCAGGACAAACTGTTAAAGATCTTTGATTGTTTGTTACGACTTCCACTGTGGTTGCTCATATAAAGCCTTTCAATGGAGGTTTTCCAAGTGGAATGGAAATAGTGGCCTGGAAAACACGAGGAATGGGGTAAGGGAAGCGTGTCACATTGGTTGTCAGTACCAGACAACTCAGATGAGGGAGACACTGGAAGAAGACAAGAGTATGTGAAAATGGCACAAGCATCTTTTTTGGAAAACCACAGGGCTTGATTCTACATTTCTGACTGATTTTGACACCTTGTTTGGAAGAAAAAAGCGGATGTTCCTTCTTCTGAGTGCCCTGAAGAGCTGCACATGCTAAACCCTGCATGAAGTTCTGTGCAAGGGCTTTCCCAGGCAAGTTACGCAGAAGAATAGGGGTTAGATATTTGTCTTCTGCCCCTTTGTGAAACTGGAAAGGCCAGTTATAACAGAGTTCAAAGAGAATTTGGGGTTTAAAATTATTAGGATATACAGGAGGGCAAAGATGTATAACTCTCCTATTGCTACCCTTGATACCTTTGGTCTTTCTCAATCTTCTGCTGCTAGCAACCTCAATTTTCCCCTTGTCCAGCCCGTTCTCACAATTCAGCCATGAAAATATATAGAGAAAGAAGCTGGAGAAAACTATCTGTGTTAGAATATGCAATGGAATGAGAACAGCAGTGGAAGTAGCATTGGAGAGGAGTGGGATGCAGGGAAGGAAGGGAAGAGGGGAACTTGCTCTCTAAGAAGGCAAGGAGAAAGGACTCCAAGAGATAAGACAGGTAATAACATGTAAAGGATTGCATGGGAAGGTTTGTGAAGACAGAGGATTTGATTTGTTGGAGAAAACAGGACTGGTTCAGGTGATTTGGCATCTGCGGACAAAAAGCTCCCATCACACTTTTAATGCCAACAAAGCTTTTGCAGACGGAACTTAATAGTTAAATACAGTCAGACCCAGTTTTCAGCAGTTTAGCAATGCAAAGCAGTGTAAACCACAAGACTGGGTGCACTAATAATATTGTATAAAATTATTGGTGCTGTTTCCTTTTAAAGGTGCATAGATTAAGTAAACACACTGGAATTGGACACAATTATAATTCCTTAATACTGATGCTTACCATGCAGCCTGCTGACCTTCTACATGGATGTGATTCTCCTGCTAAAGGACGCTTTTCAGTTTTAATCATGAGTGCAGAACAGGTAATCCTTTGCAGACAGCACAGGGAAAGCCAACAAACAACAATGTTCTGCTTGTGTGATAATTGTAGAAACGTGACTTACCAACTCGTAGGACAAAGTCGTTGTAAGACTGATAGTTGATTTCATCAAGAACATCAAACATCTCTATTGCAAAATCTGCCAGTGTACTCAGATGGGAATAAATTGATTTTTTAGCCTAGAAACAAAATAGTATTGCACATTAGATTTGTATGGTACTGAGAGGCAGGTGAAATACCGAAGTGAAAAACAATGAAATGCTCAGACTGCATGGCTTAGGAAAAGAATCTAACCTATTTTGCTGTTTGTGAAAAGAAACTTTTGATGGTGGCTACAGCATATGCATTCTTTTCTCAAGTACTGAATTCTTTTTTTTTTTTTCCTTCTCTCTCTCTTTTTGATTTCTGGGAAGAATGGAAAGCACAGTTCCCGTGGTAAAGTGGTTCTGTTGCTAGAGAGCTGCAGATGTTTGTTGTGAGCGTGGCAGGGAATATAACCTGCTTTCTTACAAAACTGCTTTGCCTGATGATTATTAATAACTATAGTTTCTGCCCTCTTCTCCCTTTGGGGTTTTTGCTAGCTCCCGGCTCTATGGGGTGCATGCTGTTCCCATTGACAAAATTCCTGTTAGGTTTAATCCTATGAGATGCAAATACCCCTATTTTTTTTCCTTTCCAGGCAAGCTGAAGTGAGTTGTTATAAAACATACCTAAAGGAACTAAAGCAAAAGAACCAGAAGGGATCAACTGAAACGCTGAAGTATCAACTTGTGAAAAAAACCCCAAAACGTAAGAAAATAGTTTTTACAACTTCAGTCTAATTAAACTGTGGAACTCATTTTCAGAAGATATTGTGGATTCCAAAAGTTAGCTAGATACAAACATAACTACTCAAATTCATGGAATAAATATTTGCTACAAAGTAGTAAAAAGATATTATCTGTAGCCTTAGAATTTCTTAAGCAGCGTATCATTAGAAAGTGGGAAAGTGAGGTTTGCATGTTTGTCCTGTAACTCATGACCTTTCCCCAGGATCTACCGTTGGCTAGTTAAAGACTGGTTACTAGAATAGACCTTTGACCTGACTCAGTATGGTTGCTCTTATGTTGTGCTCTTATTTGAATAATAAATATGAATTCTTGAACAGATTTGCAAAGTGAAAGTGGGCTAAAGGTAGGATATGGTGAAAGAAATGCAGGGTCAGTGGCAGTCTAGCTTCAGTAGGGTGTTGCACAACAGGGCTGTGGCAGCTGGCATGAGATGAGAGCTCGCTGGGTTTTTGTCATTATAGTGAGATTGTATAAATGGAGTACTTGACAGTGGCTGAGAAACCTGAGAAACAGGTTGCTATTTGCTTTGTTTGGCTCAGTTTGAAAGGGTTCCTTCATGTGTCTGGAAAATTTACAAAAATTAGAGCAAAGTGCTAGCAAAAAATTATGAAAGTCATCCTTGGGTCAGTCCCAATTTTTAGGAAGGATATTTTTATTTACCTGCCTGGGTATCTGGCATTCTGCTTCTTGCATTGTCAACTAGCTCTACTCTTTTCCAGCCTCACCAAGACAAAGGAAGAACAAGAATTAAGTTTAAAGAGCTGATGGCTACACTTCCAACAGGGAAGGAGAAGAATATTGAATGTCTGGAGGAGGGAGGGACGAGTGTATAGTTTTAATTAATCCTCTAATCTTCTTTATATTCCTTATCCTTCCATTTCTTTGCTGCCCGATGAATGTGTTGATTTCCTGCAATGCCCCTCAGGGTTGCAGAGGAGAGGACTGGTGACAAATACTGGATGTGCTGCAGGTGACAGATGCCTCTCAAAAGGATTACTGGCAAACTCTTTTGAACCTGCACTGAAGAACATCACAAAGTTAGGACCCTGGTGAAGTCAGGACCCTGGTGAAATCACAGATGTAATTTCAAAGGACTTCACACACACAATGAACTTATATTGTGCAAAAGATCTACAAAGAGCTTGGTTTGTGTGCTGCCCTGATGGATGATGTAACTGGCAAGCAATTATTTATTTAAACATCAGAGGAATAGTTACTGGAAAGACTGCCCAGAGCATCACAGCAAAACCACTCTGGCAGAGGCAATGTGCATTTACTATAGTCATCTGCTGAAGTCAAGCTGCAGAAACAACAGTCCTGTAAAATATGGGATTTAATTATTTAACTTCATCAGGGTACTGGGTTCTTATGTGTGTAAATATCCTCAGTTAAGAGCACAGTTAACCCTATCCACTGCTTTCTGCTCATGTCCAAATCCTAGTATGAAATTGGTGGCTCACAATCAGAAGCTGTGCCAGATTTTCTGATGAAGCTGGGACACTCCTGGCAGAGGGGAGACCAGAAGCTCTTGAGTCTCTTCTGGCTCCCCATGGACACATATGACTCTGTAGGGCAGCCCAGGGACTGTGTGACAGCTGGCAGTGATTGTCTGTGCATGACAGGCTACCCAGGATCATCAGACTTCTAACACGTAGTTGCGTGCTGAAGACCTGGTGGGAAACTGCTAAGAGGATGTGAATAATTTCTACTCATTTGCATCACACAAGCAGTGGGAAGAGTTCACGGAAGAGCTGAACCCCCAAGTTAAAGTGAAAAATATTGGCTGTTTCATACAAAATCTTTAGGTTTTCTGGAATAAGAATGTTAAATAAATTCTGCCTCTACAGAAAAGATCAAAATTTGCCCCAAGATTTCAGAGAAAGGTAGAGTCCTGTACAAGACCTTCTGCAGTGATTTAAAATGCATTATTATCATAAGCTCAGAGTGGTATCTTCAGTACTGGGCTAACTCAGCTGACCCATCAGTTAGCAACTATAAAATACAAGACATAAACATGTTTAGGTTTTGGAACATATGCTGCCAAAGTTACCCAATAACATACTTGTTTTCAGGATTATAGTTCAAAGAGCATTTATAGCAGACACACAAGTATGCCGTTGCCTGTTTGCCTGAGATCACATCGAACAAAATTCAAAGGATCAATTTTTTTGCCTGTCTCAGGGCACAGGAGTCAAACATTTCAGCATAAATGGAGTCTTAAAAATACCTTCTTGTAATGTGTAGATTTCTAGGAATGATACAAAGGAAAGCACCAGTTGTAAATACCCTGCAGACCAGAAAATTAGTTGCATGTGATATACTCCAACATGATTCTAACAGTTGATTTCAGTGTGGCCTTGTTGTTTATTTACCCTGTGAGGATAATTGTTGCTAGAAAGTTCACAGGCCATCTTCTGGCCCTTTTTGCTTTTGCCCTCTAATTCGGTGTTATTTTGCAATGCTAAACCATATGCATGAGAGTACCTCTACAACATAAGTACACGCATATCAGAACAGGGGAGAGGTGTCTGGAAATTCTGGGCAGACTAGGTGCATGGATTGCTTTCATTTTCATTATATTCTTCATATTATTAATTTTATTAATTTTTCATAAATTAACTTTATTAATATAATTATTAATGTGCATAGTACTCTGTATACAATATATTCAGTATACTGTCCACAGGGTTCTCTGCTTTTCCAGATGCTGCATGCAAATCTAGGAAATCTCTGTCCCAAGACACAAACTTAAGGTGAGAAACACACTCAGAAGTAGTAATGAGGATACAGAAGAAGAACTGTGCCCCAGAACTAGTGGGTCTGAAATGACTTTGACTTCTTTTATTGCTGAGTAATTAAAGGGGTAAAAAGAATGCTATCAGTAGAGACAAAGAAGAGCTGATTTGGAAGGAGCAGGGTAAAGTGCAGCAATGTACCTAGCACTAAGTTCCTGTCCATGATGGGGGTTGGGAGAGGCTGTTTGTTTTGATTGTAGGTTGCACCCAGATTTCAATATAAAAAAGAACAAAAAATCACATTTTAACATTCTTCTGTTAGTTTTGCAGCAATTCATTACACCTAGACTCTCCCCTTCCCTGCATCTTACGAGGTCGTCTAAGATACTGGGTTTAAAACACCACCACTCTGACTTAAGAGCTTTATACACCAATTTGCAGAGAATCCAGAGCTGCAGACAATGAAATCCCAAATGAAGCCATACGAACAACTGCTAGGATAGCAATTTTTCTTTTCAGGCTACAGTTGTTCTTTGAATTTCAGATTTAATTGTTGTAAAGAAGTAATACAAGTTATCTATTATCACATAGAGTTAGTTGTGTTTCTGATGTTTCTCGGGAAATTGAAGGATAATGGTTCCTCCACAAACGACCGTCATGTAAAATCTTCTTACCTTAGTTCCCGAAGTAGGTACAAGTCCCACAGCTGCCATATATGTACTTCCAATTGTCTTGATCTTTTCTATGTCCTTATAATATTCTTTGTCCATAAGCTTTGTTTAAAACATAAAACTGTTAAATGTTACATAATATTTTAGACAAGCAACCATAGCTATCAGATAATATGTGCAAGTTGATTAAACCATATTATTTTTGGTAAGTTGAGGCTTGTCCACTTTGAGGCCATTGAAAAACCTACCGTTAACTCACATTTTAATACTCTTCCTATATTAGAGGAATTTGAGGTGAGACTCACATACCTAAAAGTACAAACTGGGCAGTTTGTAGAAGCCCAGTGGACACCAACTACAATTAAATAGAAAGTTTGTAGTACTGTTTTATTAGGCAGTTCAAGATACGCTGAGTTGCTACAGATAATCTCTGTTGATAGTAATTCGGTAGAACTGATATGATCAAAAGTCAAAGTGTTTAGACCTTACCTCATCAAAATCAGCAATAATTTCATTTAACAGGCGTAAACATTCCACTCCCATATTATTGCCGTCCAATTCAATGTAGAAATCATTGAAATTTGGGATGGAAGCAAACATCACTCCCACTTGTGAATATGACTGGTAATAAAGGTCCTGCAGTTCATAAGCAAGATATAATTTTTATTTTAAAAGATTAAGGTAAACCAGGCATCATTATTATGATATCTATTCTACTGCTAAGCAATAGCTAGGACAAAAGCCATCATTTTTGGTAGAGAGAAAGCCAGCCTTATTAAAAAAATGTTGAAAGATCTCTCCACTCAAAAACACAAAAGAAAATTAACAGCAAAGCTATTAAACCCATTTAAAACAACTTAGACTTTTTCTTTGTTCAGACATGGAAGCAGTGAGCAAAAATTTTGTAGAAACTCTTAACAGTTATAGTACTTTTATTGTATGAGAAACATAATTGCATTTTCTCAATTTTGTTTTATAACTAAAATAGGAGACAGAACAATTTTGCCTTGCAGCACAAAACCAGCCTCGCTCCTTCATGTCTTTCCCTGAGTTGCGGAGTCCTGTGTTCAACACTAACAATATAATGCTGTTTTGTACAGTAAGGTTTCTGCTTAAGAATTTGGAGGGCTCGTGGAAAGTAAAACCACTCTTCAAATACATTGGTTCAAATACATTGATCCAAACTCTCAAGAGCAGTATCATGGTCATTACGGTGACTCCAGTGCTACAGGTATTGCAGCTGCACCGGAAGGACTCTGGTAAGGGCTTCCTGAACCACTTTATTTAATCACTGCAGCCTTTGATGTTAAAAGCTACTGAGTCTTCCTTGGGTGTGTACAATTCTCTGTTTTTAACTTTAAATGGATGGGTTTGGTAATGGCAGTGTATTTCCAGAACTAGAGTGGTTCATATGGAAGTGTCTGGCAGTTCATACACTTCACCATTCAGAACCAAACTGAGCTCATGAAATGCTGTGATAAATCCCCGTATTCTAAATTGATTGAAAAAAAATTAGTGATTTGCATGCAGGCTCTTGGCTGCATTGACGTTGAATGACACAACGTTCCCTTATCCTGCTTTTTATTAAAATTCTTCAGAGGAGGATACTACAGTGAGATAAATAATCCCAGTCTAATTCTTGAACACAAGTTTTTACAAAACTATTCCTTTTAACATGAATGAAATTTTGTAAGTCCAAGCCTTTCTTGAAAACACAGTTGAAAGGTGACCCAAGCTACATAGGGTCATACCCACACAACATCACCATGTATTTAAATTTTATCTTGGTTTACCATATTTCTTGGATTAGACATAAGAAAATGCTGTGCAACGTGTGCTGGCAACAGGTTGAAGAGAATTCTTTTATTATCCAGCTTGACTCTCTCCATATCATCTCTCTCTTCTTCTGCCTGTGGGGACAGGAAAAGAAAAACCTTTCCAAAAAGCAAAAAAATTAGCTGATGGCTGAAGCCATCAAATATCTTCTATTAATTCATCCTTTGAAATTAAACTGAGCAAAATAATGCCTGCAAAGTAGAGTGGGAACAGTTCTCCTATACCATGCTTTTATGTTTGGGGCAAGATCCTTAGTAATTCAAGCTAAAGTCTCTGGGCTGATGACTACTTTCAGGGCTTGATCAGCTAAGTGTTTTGGTGTCTTCTGTAGTTCTCTGATCTTTTAAATAGGCCCTTGATATTTTCACAGAGTAAAAAGCTAGAATAATCCCACTTAAGTCACATTGGCCTTCGAGGCCGATTACTTCCCAGGTAGGTGGAGACAGTGACAGCAGTATTTGATCCACCTTTCAAAAAAGAGAAGCCTGGAGAATCACCAGTGTTTAAAGCAAACCTACTTCATTTTGCAGTAAAATGGCAACAGACCTGGTAAGACAGTAACTTCAACAGAGAAGAAGGTTTTAAAATGGAACATCCTTAAGAATGATATGCAATTAAAAAATTATTTTAATATAAAAAATAATTAGCATTTCTGGAGTTGGTTTTAATTACTCTGGTATTTGTCACGAAAACATATACAGCTCCTGTGCACATAAATTTCTGTGCACAACAGCAACAGAAATTCTATTATTCATGTGAATGACAGCATTCAGAAAGAGTGCCTAGGAGTTAACACAGCTGAGTTCCTTAACCCGAGATACCGGTATCTTATTACAAGTGTCTTGACTCACAGGAGTTAGTGGGAGTCACGCATTAGGAAACAATTCTAAAAATCAGACTCCTTATTGGAAAAATACTGAATATCTAGGGATCTCATCTGGGACTCCTAGGTTTGCAAATTCCAGCCTAGTCCTTAGTAGACTCTTCTGCAAAATTACTTCTCTGGAATTTGCTCCTTGTTGTTAGAGTGACTTTTGGCCCCACATTCTGATTTCAATTAGAGAACGTGATCAGTACCATATAATTAATCTCATAGAAATCACAGCTTATTCTTTGCTCTTGAATCACACTCAACAGAACTATAACACAAATCTTCTGCCGTGATCCCAATATGAAGTTACTTATCTAGTTACAGTCAGCAGAAGACTGGAAGGCCAAATTCTCAGGCATTGTTGAGAAACTACAATCATGTAAACCACTGAAGAATCTTCTCTAATCTTTGTTGGTGTCTCTTTTGTATCTAGAATTTGCTACCCTGATCTATTACAAAGTCCACATACTTTTCTCACTGCCCATTCCTGCCTAAGTAGGAGAAAACCAGTCACCTCTTGCCTTTGTATAGTCTTACAATATTCTTTTCATGTGATTTTTTTTTCAGGAAGCTAATTTTTGCTTTCCATTACAAAACTTAGGAAATAACCTTTTTATTCAAATCACACAGTATGCTTTGCCTTGCAGTTTACTTCTGTATTCTTAAATTTCTTTACAAGTAGAAAGAATGCTAAAAGAGAACCGGGTTTATAAACATAACTTCTTCAGGAATCATTCCCTTTTGAAATAAATTCTCAGCTCCTCCTCTAATTTGTGTAATAAGAATCAGAATTTATTCTAGAGGTGAAATATCAGTAAACATTAAATAGCAGTTAAGCTTTGCAAGAAATATACCTGAAATTTTTATTTGAAGCAAGTATCTATTTCCTGTTTGTGAGCTGTTTTCCTGACACTTTTTTTGCTGTTTAAATTTCATATGCTGTTTTCTTAAAATATCCTTCCCCTATTTTGGTGGTATAACTCTGTCTCTGACTTATTGTTGTCTATAAACATGTGTAATGGCCTCGTGCCTTTAGTCTGACTGTTGGAAGTTAAATGTTCTAATAGTAAAAATAAAAAAATTTCCCCCCCTGAAAATTCAAACCAAGCTTACAACTCCATTTGTACATCATATTGGAATATGGGAAATTTTACTCTGACGACAGCAAAGAGATTTGCAAACTGAATTCATGCTCTGAATAAAAAATCTGTTTTGGACTTGTTATCCTCAGGGTACTCGGCGCCCTGAGCTGGAAAACAGGGATGGCGAGCAGGATGAACCCCCCATAATCCAAGAGGAAGCGGTCAACGACCTGCTACGCCACCTGGATGCTCACAAGTCTATGGGGCCGGATGGGATCCACCCGAGAGTGCTGAGAGAGCTGGCGGAGGAGCTCGCCAAGCC